GCCCGCGGAGATCCGGGCCCGGCCTGCCCGGGGCGAGCGCGGGTTGAGGCGGGGGTGGGGGTCCCCCCGTGCGCTGGGTGGGCCGCGGCCTACCCTTTCCTCAAGAAAAGTTGGGGGGAGGTTGCATTCTTAGTTGCAGAGGGCCGTGATACTGCGGCTTTCCGAATCGTGCCTCTGTGTGCAAATCCTAGATGCTTAAATGTTAGCTTTAAGTTTCGATACTGTTATAACAAAAGGTGATGAAAGTGCATGTGGTTATGCATTCAGATCTGACCACATCCGTATCTTGTACTGCACGGCTAAAGTGTTTCTAGTGGGAGAGCTCCCATAACAGTTTTCTTTGCTTCTTTTCCACAGTGGAACGAGATAATCGAGCTCTTTCGTTCGGGCATGCCCTTACGGAAGCATCGTTGCCGCTTCAAAAGCTACGAGCGCTGTTTCAAAGCCTCTGAGGCGGTGGACTGGCTACACGAGCTGCTTGGCTGTAATCAGAACTTTGGCCCCGAAGTAACTCGCAGTCAAACGGTTAAGCTGCTTAAAAAATTCCTGAAAAATCATGTTATTGAAGACATTAAGGGAAGATGGGGCAAAGAGGACTTTCAAGATGATGGTCACTTATATAGGTACATTTTTACTGCAACTTCACAATTTTATTTTTTTTTTGAAACAGGGCATAGGAACATTTAAATGTTGATTTTATAGCAATTTCTGTAAAATGTGTGTGATAATGTGTCGCTGTTTCTTTTTCCACCTTCCTGCTAAATACTTCCTTTTTTTTTACTAGCAGTGTTAAGTGTTGTGATTGCCTTTTGGAAGGCACTTTACTTGAATTCGTCCTATGAATGCTAAAAAAACTTTTGCTACTTTTGTCAGCTAGAAAGAGTTCTGTCGGCTGTTAATAGATGCTAGATTTGTCAATTTTTATTTAAAAGGGTATACTGATAGACATGAGAATGATGTTGAGTATACAGCCCGGTTTTTCTTCTTCTCACTTTTACCTAGGAACTTTGGATTTTCTTTTCTCTTCTTTTTGAGAAAAGAGAAAGTTTTTCTCAATTTCAGTGTCATTCAAAATGGATCTTTTTTTCTGTACACTGTGGGATAAAGATTCATTCTCTAAATAAGAGAAGAAAGAGGAAGTTAAGCATTTTATTACTTGCCCGCAATAATGTTTACCTGCTTTGGCTCTTAACTGGTGTCTTGTTATCAAGGGAAAACAATTTTATTTGTAACGAAAGCCTACTTGCATTGGAGCACATCCTCGCCCTTGTGAGTCCAATTAATGACCAGGTTTCCATGTGCTGAGGGTCCTGAACTTGTCACTTGCGTTATCCTGTTCCCTGAAAAATCAGTATAAAATGAGCATTGACTTGAATGTGATTTTGTAACATGGGGGTGAGTCCCTTCTTGAGGAAAATTCTCTAACAGAGCAATAAGGAAAATTAGCAGCAATGTTTCCTTTTTCTTGTTAACCTTTTCTTTAAAGAAATGTTATAGTCTTTTCTTAATAGTTTCTCAATATTGTCTCTAAAAAATGGCTGTAAGGTTGAAAATCCTCTTGATGTGGATGGAATCAGTTTTTCATTTTCCTTTATGATTTTATTTGGCCTGTTTGTAAAGTGGGTGGCCAGTCATTTTTGCAGACCTACAAATAAGGTTAAGTGTGACTGTTCACTGCAGTCTGAACTTCATTACATGGAGTGCTTTAAAAATAGAAACCCTATATGATGCATGTGACATGCAAAGTAATTGCGTTTATAACAATGGTAAGAAAGTTTCTCAGGTCAGCTCTGTTTTTTTCACAAGCTTGTTCCAGTGGCATTCAGTTCACTTGGATTTGTACATAGTTCAGCAATAAATTAGCCCTTGCTTAACTGCATTTTTCCTTATGATACTGCATGACATCCTTCAAAAAAAGCAGTTGTTCTTTATCTAGGCTTCTTAAGCAAGCAGCACTGAATGTCTTCTGAGTAACACTGCCTTACTGCCAAGTAATTTGAGACTTTTGGCCAACTTAGATTTATCCTCATAGACAGTTGTCTAAAATATCTTGGAGGGTTAGAAAATGAATTCTCTTGAGGCTTAGTATCATATTCCATAAAGGGTGACTGGTTAATAAATGGAACAGATAAATGAAACACGTAGCTGAGGGTACCTATTTGTTTAGTTTAACCAGATTGTGTCAAAACCCTTCAGGGTGGTCTTGTTGCTTTTCTGCAACTGTCTTCAATGCTCCTGTGGCTGTGGAGTCGGTCAGATCAGTTGCTAATATGAATGTTGTGCTTCTCCCCTCCTCACTTGCATAGTTCTGTCTAGCAAATGGGTTGGCTAAGTCATATGAGTGAGTCTGTGTCTGTACATGATTGGAGATGGAATGGGGAAATGCATTGGTAAGTGCAGGTGGGAGAAGAGCAGGAGAAAGCAGTGGGCCTCATGGCAGCTCTAATAGCTTCAGCTCTTTGATAAAGAGAACACGGTATTCATGTCCACCTGATATTAAGGGGCAAAGAGTCACTAGACCAGATAAACTAAAAATGTGAACTAGTCCTTTCAAACAAACAAAGAAAACACTTTGAATACTCTTCAGTGCTAGTCTGGAGCGTATGGGGAATTGATGCTCTTTTCTGTCTTTATTTAAGTCCTTAAGTTCACTGTGATTCATTGTGCAAACAAAATGCTTGCATGCATGTTTACTGCAGGCAGGTCTTTAGATATACAGGTTTAGTGTAGTTCTTGCTAATGGAGAAGGGATCTCCAGTAGTAGCACCCAAACCAGTTGATGGAACTCTTGTAACAGAGCACCAATAATGCAGAGATTGGTACACATAGGTTCAATACAAAATCACTAGGCTGTAACCAGCCCTTTTGGACATTAAGGAATCCAGTAACCACCAACCTGTTACTTTTATGGACTCTCACTTCTTCTTGCTCTCCTCCCAAACCATTGAAGGGTAGAAAAAAAGTTATTAAAATAATGAGGCTATACTTTGTCCTCTCTCTTCCTGGACAGGGATTAGTTTTGCCACAGGATTGAACAGTTTTTGATAACTGTGGATATTAAGCTTTCTCTTCCAAGTATTTTTATTTTTTCTATTTTAATTTTTTTTTCCTCCTTGGCAATGTGACATATTTAAATCATTTTGCTCGTTTCTACTGCGTATCAGCAGCCATTACCCTTGCATGAGCCGAAGTTATTTGGAAGTCTTGGGAAGTGGTTGGGTGAAATATCATGCTTTGCTTGTGCTTTCTTATACTCTTTGCTTAATCATCTGCTCTTCAGAAAAGCCTTTTGTGGTCTTAATGTTCTTTTTCCACTTCCAATTCAAAGGATAATTAAGTTACTACTGGAAGTTTGATATTTTTAATAAAACTACATCCTTTTTATGCATTTTGGAGCCAGCAGGCTTGAAGTATAAATAAACAGTAGGATAATCATATTTTTGATGTGTGACTTTAAGTATTAACACACACTGGTCTCCTGTTTATGCAACTAAACTCCCAGTACCCAGTATGCCTTTATTCATGTGTTTAATGTCCTAGCAGCTCCCTCTGGTGGCCTTTCTAATTTTACTCTGTAAGTACAGGTCTCGTATGTTCAGGTTAGTGTGGGTTACAAGTGCACATAGCTTTGACAATGTTTACTCTGAAACCTTTGACCTGAGCTGATCTCTTTTATAAATTGCCACTATACATACACAGCTGTTTTATTAGAAACAATGTGGTCAGATCTTTTAATAACTTTTGATGTAAATGTGATTATCTTTTCTTATTTACTCATTAGAATATCCAAAGCATTCATGAATATTGCCAAATGATGATGTGATTTGTTAGGCAAACTTTAAATTAAAAAAGTGAGAAACAGAGAGAATTCTAGAAATAGCAAAGGCTATGTCTGTTCCTGGCATACTGTTTCAATGTTGTCTACAACAGTAAATAAAAGTTGTGATTTTGGGAAGATTTAGGTTTTGCAGGTCTTGGATTTTGAACAATTGCATTAAAATCAAAGGGGAAAGCACTGCAAAGTTGCTGCTAACACCCTGGGAAACCAGATGTGCTGCTTGCTTTGCTGATGGTGCAACTTATTGGAAAACAATTTCTTGGGCAGGAAAGAAGGAGAAAAGTAACATTTTGCTGCATGCTTGCAAATTAAATCCAAGTGTTAGTCATGCAACTTTGTACTGTATTGCTTTGGAAGATGCATGTGGTTGCATATCTGATATGGGAGAATCTACTTAGAGCTTTTTCAGCAGAACCAGCATCTTCTCATGAGGACTTGAGTCAGTTGCCTAAATTTAGGCAGCTGGTGTCTTTTGAGATGCAAGGGGTTATTAGTCTTCCATACGAAGTTCTCAGTTATGTCATAGGTTATACAAGGGACCTACCCTATTCTGGAGGAGCAGCTGGAGACCAGACAAGCTGTTTTTTAGGACATTTGGCCTTTCACTCAACATCCATCTTAGGCAACTGAGGCACCCTGAGGATGTCTGAGGCATTTGTCATATGTATGCATGTGAAGGCCTACTAAACACCTTTAGATAATTATCTAATTCAGAGCTCACAAGCTTTAGAAATTTTTCTTTAATTTTAGGTTTCCTCCTTCTTCACCACTGAAGCCATATCCAAAGAGACCTTCATGTACAAAGGAAGTAATTAAATTTCCAGACTGGAACGAACCTAAGAGTGGTGCTTCCCAAGAGCATATCCTGGTAAAATCAGTCACAATGGTAGGTTTTATTTTCTTTTCCCCAGACATACACATATTTGGAAAACAAAATAAATAATAGAGAAAAATTGAGCAAACTATCTTAGTTGCATAACAAAATATTTGGCAATGAGGTTAGATGAAAAGTACCTCTATTATTTTAAGCTTAAAGGACATAAAGTTGTTCTTAATCACTTGTCAGGGCCAGGGATGTTGATTTTGAGTGCTCTTTCTGCTGCAGCTGTCTGTATCCCTGGCATACTAAGTTCAGCATTTGACCCTCAGTATTTGTGGTATTTGCGTTCACTTTTTATACCAGTTTGTTGTAATTCCAATAATACATTTGTTACATTGGAAGACAAGGTAGTTATTTTACAATGCCTTACTGTATAACTTCTTTACTGGGACTTTTGTTGCAGAATTATATACTATTACTCCTCCTCTAGTTATTATGTTGTTAGGGCCTCCATTCCCTTTGTAACAATAGCCATCCTGTGCCTAATGAAAGGTGCTGCTGAATTCTTTGTTTCCCTTTGTGAGCTTGGAGAATGGTCCTGATCAGGCATTATCTTAATTGATCCAACCTTTCCAAAGCTGTTCAACTCTTGCCTTCATTAGTAAAACAGAATTGCATGTCTTTTTACAACTTTAACATCTTAAAAGCCTAGACCTTTCCAATTACATGTGTCCTAAACCCTTTCTCCAGGATATCTTTTGTGTGTGAGTATACCTGGGCTTTTTATAAACTGGAGGGAGTTCTTGTAATTGTCTCTTGCTATTAATAGTATTCAGTGTAGCACATCAGCCCTGGATTTCTTTGTTATCGATAGTCAGTCTGGAAAAGCAGCTCCTACTATTTGGCTGGGCATCCAGAGGTCATGAATAAATAGCTACTCCATATTTGGAATTCAATGCCTTATATGCAGTTCTACACTTTTCATGTGTAGAAGGTTTCTGTCTTGATGTAGTATCTCTATTTCACAGCATATGTCCCTTTATGTAGGATTTTCCAAGACAAGAGGTAATTCTAGGATGTTAGTATCTAAAATCCAAACCTCTGTGTTGCAAGATATGACGTATTCATTTGAACGACATGAACACCAGGTCCTTTTCTGAAGAAAAGTGAAGTTTGAGCTGCCTGCTTGTAGTTACATATAAGCCTATACTCATATAAGTCTGTAGACTTCATTTCTCTCTTCTCTTCATTTAGGCATTTTCACCATTTTCCCCCACCAGTATGTAAACATGTGGGCCACATGGAGAGATGGTTCAGTGAGCTGAGTTAGCTGAAAAGTTTGTTTTTTTTTTTTAATTGTTGTTTTCTTCCCTACTTTGATTTCAGGCAAACCAGCGCAAAAATTGTGTGCACGGAATATCGGGCAGAGGGCAAAGAGGACAAAAGGGCTTAACCGTTTTGCATCTGAACTTATTGTAAAGCCACAGGGCAGAGAATGAACAGAGATGAGGGCTTCTTCCTCTATAGGAGTGATAAGCATGACTCTTCAAACTTGAGATGACTCAAGGAAGGAAGAAAAGAGCATGCTAAAGGGAGATTAAGGGAATAAAACAGCAGCAATGACTAAGAAATGTTGTAAGATGTTAGACATTTCAGTTGTCTTCTGATAGAGGGGTGGACAACTATCTGAAAGTGTCAGTGTCTTAAAATGCTGTGGTATCTGAATATCTTGATACATCATAGTGATATGTAAAGGTATTGATTACACACATTTTGAATATGTTTTGTGCTGAGGACCAGCTATCCCACACCACAAGCATTTCGGAGTATATTACCCATTTCAAACTTTTTCTGTTTTGTTGCTACAGAGTGACCAACAGACTCCTGGTTGGAGTAAATAATTACATTCCTGCACTGCATTTTTTTGATTTAATTTTCGTCACTAGGAATCTTTTTAACATGTTCTGAGGCTTGATCTGTGATGTGAACAAAAGCACAGTTATGAAGTGATCAGGAGCTTTGCCTAGAAAAGTGTATTGCTAACGTAGTGCATCTACTGATGTGTTCCTGACAACATGCAACAGAGCTGGGGATGGAAGTCACACAGATTTGCATTCTTTGCTCTAGTTCCTTTGCAGGGATGGACTAGCTCTGATGGGTTTTCTTATCTTGAGCTATTTGCTTTCTCTTTCTTCCTGTGTAAAATATTTCTGAGGAATTTACTATTTAGCTACAGTTGATGTGTGCTGAGTAAGAATGAATATCTCTCTTGGCTAATAAAGAATATCTTGGCTAATAATTCTTTAATAATTTCTCCTGCAAATGGTAGTTGAGAACAAGTATCTTGAACTGTCTTTAATCACAGAGAGAATCTGAATATAAGACTGGATCTGAATCTGAAGATAGGACTGAATATAGGACTCTTGAATTTTAAGTGCTGTTCTGAAGCATCTTTTCTGACTTTGGACAAAATTTCATGAGGCAAAAATTCCATTTAGGTTTTTTGTAAAATCTAAATACTTGTGGCCTGGTGATTGTATTAGAACTTTTGAATAAGTGAAGTATTGGTAACAGAAAACATGCTGTTCTCTAGATGTATTGTATGATTAAATATTTTAAAAATTATCTCATTTAAAAGTGATTTTTTTTTCCTGATTTTCAGAACTCTGAAATGTGGTATAAACGTCACAGTATAGCTATAGGAGAAGTGCCGGTGTGCAAGCTTATGTACCACAGAGAGCTAGCACAGGCAAATATAGAAGAGATCTGGAAATCCATGACGTTGTCACGGTGAGTGTACTTGAGTCACCTACTGCTGTACTAACCGTGTATAGTGGGCCAGTTTTCTCAGTCTTCCCTGCTAAACATTTGTTAATTCATCCACTTGCTTCCTGTAATACATTATGCCGTAGAACCGTTCAGTTAGTGCAATATTTAGCCTGAGAATATAAGAAATGGATCAGCTGATCATGAATGCAAAAGACTTTGCAAGACCAAGACAGTGTCTACTGTTTTTAGAAGGAATATCCTATAAGAATTTAAAGGCATTCCTCTAGACCAATAAAAACTTTTCCTGTAAAAATACAAAATATCTGTTTCTGCAACATATCCATATGCTGAAACAATAAGTGGAAAGGATCTCTTTTTCAGAAACATATCTATACTGAATATTAGCTGTTTGTCTTTTAGACTAGATGATGTATGAACTCTATATTTATATATTTTTACAGCTTACAAAAGACTTTAGGTTTGGATTCTCTGGATGAAGTGCTAGACACAAAGCTTGTGAATGCTAAGCATATTGTTCAAAATGTATACAATGTTAATAAGCAAGGCATTGTCATTTTAGAAGATAAATCAAGTGAGTATTTCAGACATTTTTATATAAATTTTGTTTATAGTAGTTGGCTAATATAAAAATGCATTAACTAATATAAAATAATGTGTGGCATGTATATTAGAGTTTTTATGAAACATACCATCTTTGCCTTCTCAATTTCTCCTACTGGAACCCTGAATTCATTCTTCCATGTTTTTAGACTCTACAGTGAACTCTTGCTTTAACAAGTTCAAAGAGCTGCAAGCCTTTAATGATGAAGATAGGGGTGGCACTCATTTAAACTGGCTTTTTCAGCCCAACCCTTGACTGTAACTGATTTAGAGGGCGCTCTCTGAGGTCCATGTGTATCACAAACTGAGAAAGCATCAAAAATACACTGAGAGAGGCTTAAATATTTCTCGCTTTTGTGTCTTCAGTCAACGTGTTCATTTTAAACGTAGAGGCAAGTTTAAATCTCTTCTGGTGCATCAGGAAGAAACTGAAGCTACTTTGCTGCTGTGATATATTACTTTAGATGTTATTGCTACTGTATTTTCCATGATACTGGTAAAGAAGTAAAATAGCAGATTAGAATTTGATTTAGTCAGAATGAAATCATACTTTGAGTTAATATGCGTTCATTTTACAGACATTTGGAGCAGTTTGGGAATATTATCTCACTCCCTTGAGAACTGAATTTGTGAGTGCAACTTCAGTGCAAAGTAAACACCTTATTGCAAAGCACTGCTGAATGTGTAGTTTGAACTAGTTTGGCTAACCTGTGCAAGTCAGGTTAAGGATTTCTTTATAGTTCTTTATAGGATACATTTTGCTGGTTGAGCTGTAAGGGCAATGCCTACACCTAATAAAAGATGTTTGTATGTTAAGAGAGAATTTGCCTTTTCCATTACTCTGCTTCAAATTAGAGAAACTTTCTAAAATATAAGAGCATTAAATACGAGTTTTATCTTAATTGAATATTTAATTTCTCTCTTTCTCTGTCTTTTTTTTTCTCTTCCCTCTCCTCTTTCTCCTTCCTTTCATTTTTTCCCCCTTCTCCCTGATGTAGAGGAATTACCTCACTGGATCTTGTCAGCAATGAAATGTCTAGCAAATTGTAAGTATTTGCAGGGTGGGAAAAAAAAGCTTGCTCCTCTACTGCTTCATATAATATCTCTTATATCCAGAGTTGATTATTCTTTTTTTTTGTTTGTTTGTTTGTTTTTCTGATCATGGCCTAGAAAGCAGCTAGAAAGACCTGCCACCATATGTCATCCTGCCATTGCAGTCTATTTGGCTGAAATGTGGCGCACTTAAAAGTTCTGTTCATATTTGTTATGTATGTTTTCACTAGGTCTATTGAAATAGAAGTGTAATATAACTTTGAATAATGAGTCTATTACTTGAAGTTACATTTCTATCAACTAGAATAGAAAATAATCATGTTGGTGCCTGCATGTGAATTTTTTTTTTTTTTTTTAAGGGCCCAGCTGCTCAGATTTGAAACAGCCTACATATTCAGGATTTGAAAGAGATGTCTTCAAAACCATAGCAGACTACTTTAGCCAGATGAAAGAGCCTCTTCTCACATTTCATCTTTTTGATATTTTTGTCAGCGTGTTAGGTAAGTAGTAAGGGATGCAACCACAAGGATGCTTTTGAATTAACTTTTGTGGATCAATATACCATATCAAGTGTCACAAATTACTTGAGGACATTTTCTATCCATTCTACATATGCACAGAAGTGTTTATTATTTAAGTTTAGTTAACATATTATCATTTGTATGGGTTGTAATGATTGTTTATGTAGCATCTTTATTATGACTAGTTATTTCTTAGAGCCACTTGTAAACATATGTACCAGAATGCATGCCAAATCTTCCTTTGAACTTAAAAACAGCTTTGCTCTGAAAATGTAATCGATTACAATGCTCTTTTTACATTTTTTTTTTCAATTCTATCATCTTTGGCTGCATACTTACTGTTATACTTTTTTGTTCTTATTTTAACAATATATGTGGATGGTGAGGTGAACTGGTGATTGCACTGCTAAGCTCAGAGGGTTGTGATTAGCGGCCATATAAAGTCCAGCTGGAAGCCAGTCGCTAGTAGAGTATTCCAGGGATCAATACTGGGGAACTGCTGTTGAACATCTTCATGGATGTCCTGGATTATGAAACATAGGAGGAGGGGGGCAGAAAAAAAAGACAGAGGATGAATCTAGCTTACTGTAATTCCCTGGAATTTTGTTAATATCCAGAGATATAGATTACAGTTGTTAATGTTCCCCAGCATATTGAAAGGAAGTCTTGTAAGAACTTAAGGTGCATAGATTCTAGTTCTAGGGGTATCTGCCTGAATTTTTTGGTGGCTCAAGTTTTAGGAGGATATTAAACAAGCAGGGAAAGAATTTCGCAGGACAGTTTGAGAAACACATTTTAAATATTATGAAAAAGTATAATTCTGAAATGTAGCTGAATTTCCTGATCTCCTACGATTCAGGTCTGCTGCAAAAGCATAGCAAGGTCATAGAAGCCCTTCAGATTTCCTGTCTCCTGCTGCCTCCTGAAAACCGGAAAAAACTGCAGCTACTGGTGAGGATGATGGCAAGAATTAGCTTTAACAAGGACTTGCCCCCTCTTTCTGAATCGGTGACGACCAAAACCTTGGTATGTATAGTCTTAGGCAAAGATGCTAGACAGGACTTCTGGAGTAGCTTAGGTAAAAGGCTCTTGCGGGAGAACGTATGGGAAATACAGCTTGCCTGTTTGCTGAAGAGTTGATCTACTCTAACTGTGCGAAAAGCTACTTTGAATTTAGGAAAATCAGAATGTCTTTGTAAGATGTCAACAAATAAAGAATAAGCTCAGAATTTTGAGGTTTCCCTGTCTTTGAAAATAATATCTCAGCTGGTTTTCCCCACAGACTGGTGAGATTTGGACAGATTCATTGTGGAAAAAAAACATAGCAGAAGGTTAGGACCCTAGTGTTATTTCTCACTGCAGAAAGTGAGAAGACAGAGAAAAATACTGCTTGTTTCAGTCATGATTAAAAGGACATAGCTGAATATTCTGGTTTTGGTTTACTTCTGCTACACTAGTTAAAATCATCTGGTAGGATTTTTTTTTATTTCCTCACTCTGTACATCACTCAACTACAAAAATAGTGCTCTCTGAGAGTCATTTTAGCCAAATTTCGTGAAAACCCTAGCTTATGTCAACACTTTTTCTACAGAACTATTTGTGGAGCTAGCAGTGATGTTTGCAACAGCATGTTATGACAAAGTCAAATTCATATTTATTGTACCAGGCATAATTTATAGAGATTCCGTCTGTTTAAAAACATCTTTCTTTTTGGTTAACTCTCAAGGCCCCTTGAAGGGAAAGGGTAACAGAAAATAAAAACAGTCAAGTCACTCCACAAAAATTGTAGTTGCATGCGTGAACCTAAATTTGTTCTATATTAATTAAGATTTTAATTAACTATGAATAGTATTTGATTAGAATAATTAAATTCCTGTCTGCTAAGGTTATAATTTAATTAACTATAAATATATTTGATTAAAATTGTTTTAATCTACATGTTATTTTTAGAAATGACTCCTTTACAACTCATGTACTTCATACTAAGTATTTTTGCTGCAGGATATAATATCTATGACACATGGCAGCAAACCAACACTTTGCCTTCTGTGCTTAAAATGTTAGTGACTATGCTTAGTCAGAAAACTCTTGCAACTAATGCTCTAGCCTGAATGTCCAAGTCTGAAACTGCATGAAATGAGCTGGTCCTGAACTTCAGTTAGTTTAGTGTTTGAAAATCTGAATTCAAATCAAATTCGAAAATTTGAAATTATTATATACTTATAATAAATTGCTTTGTCACTTTAAAATCTTTGAGATGTGTGTCCTGTTTAACTGGAAAAGGCAAGGGAAATGGCTATTCAGCCAAGTTCTGAGGAAAAAATGGACCTAGCCATTCTATATATTTGCAGAAAGAGATGTCATCAGTCCCCTTGTACTGTGTCACTGTACATTACTTTTTTTTTTTTTTAATGTGTATATATATGTATATATGCTGATATATTGGAAATATGGTGAGTTTTTACTCTGGAAATCTGTATCCTAAAAGATCATCCTTTTAATAATGTCTCGCTTTTCCCACTATTAAAAGGAAAAAATATATATGTGTATATATATTATATATTTTTTTTCTTTTCCTTAGATGGTTCAGGCATTTTCTCGTTGTATTCTCTGCTCAAAGGACGAAATGGACTTGGATGAACTGCTTGCTGCTAAACTAGTATCTTTTCTCATGGACAATTATCAAGAAATCCTAAACATTCCTTCCTCCTTAAAAGCTTCTGTGGAGGAGCACGTTGCACATCTCCAAAGAGTTCAAGTAGGTGTCTAATTGAGAAGTCTTATGTTTTTGTGCTTTAGTAACAATTTATCTTTTCCGTTCCTGAAAGCTTGACAGATCTCAAAGACTTTATCTCTGCTAGTATATGTGGAGCTAATTAGTTTTCACTGCTGTCTAGCAGTCAAAGTATGTATTTTAATCAAACTAAGCAGATCATGGGTTGTTGAGAGACAGGAACATCTAAGCATGTTCTACTGTTGGTCAGCCCTGTCTTAAGGTGATTGGGGTTCTGATCTGTGAAACTTATAGTACTGAAGAAAAACGGTAAGGGACATTCAGTGTTTCCTTCAGTGTTCTGTTTTTCTGGGAGAGCTTTCTTTATTTACCCAACTTTTTCATAATGTTTTTTCAATTTCTTTTGCCCAATATTTTGTTTTTCTTCAAAGTTACTGCATTAGTTTTCTTCCTTAATTTGTACCAAAATGGTTAGTCATTTTAGCCTTTTTCAAGAATGAGGCAAGTTTCCTTGGTGTCATATTTTCTGGCTTACTAGATCTCACCGATGAAAGAGATGTGAAGTAGAATCTTTACTTCGTATCCTTATTTAGCGAGTTTAAGTGGTCAATTTGATTAAGCTTCTTCTCCCAAATTTATTCTAGAATTTATATGTTTATTTTCTTCAGATAAAATATTCTGGAGCTGATGCTGATGCAACTTTTCCTGCTCCATCATTTTGTCACCAAATCAGCACAGATGAATTTGAATCCCAAAGAGCAAATGGCTTTCAAGAACCACTGGCAGCTTTATTGGAAGAAATTGCAATGAATAAAGAAATATCTGTCAAAGACAAGAAGAAGAAACTTAAACAAGTAAATAATTCTTCTGTAGTCTTAGATGTCTAGTTTTCAAAAGAGATCATAACTTCAAACAATGTATCTTCTTAATTTTTTTTATATTCTTAGGTTTATATTTTTTATACTATTTAGAATAGAGGTATTATGATGAATCAAACCATATTGGAAAATAACACTTGTTTCTCTCTATGTCTCTATGTAGATGTATATAGAGTGCGATAGAATATATATTTTCATGTTCTATAAGTGGAAGTGGTAGTTTATTTAATGCTAACTTTTGGAGCGTATTCTTCATTTAAATTATTGCATTTTTCTAGTTTCAGAAAGCTTACCCTGAAGTGTATAGAGTACGATTTCCTACTCCTGAAGCTGAAGCAGTCCTATTTCCAGAAAAAAATAAGCAGAAGACACCAGTACTGATGTGGGCCTTAAAAAAGCCGTTCCAACCGTTTCACAGAACCAGAAGCTTTCGGATGTAGATGGTGTGCACTTCATCGGCAAACAGTATCCAAGCATATTATGGATGAGTATTCTGCAAAAGGAACATGACCAGCATGTAATTACTCAAAAAACCACTGGACTAGTAGTTCTACTGCTAGCACAGAAGAAAAGATCAAAAGAGGAGGAATGTACTGAGAAGGCAGAAATGTGAACCTTTTACAGTGTTATGGTAAATCATTATTTTTTTTAATGGCTTTTATGTTTAAAAAATCAGGATGGTTAATCTATGTGGATGGTAACATACTGGCTGTATTCTAACCATCCCTTCATGCTCTAAATATGTTTTTCTGTAACGTACTGTTAGTGTCTTGTAAACCGCATGTTTTCTCTTGCAAGTAAGTCTTTTGTATAAACTGGACTCTATTTGTTCTCATATAGATGAGAAATTAATGTGCTGTACATACTTGAATATGTATGAAACACTGGATTTTGTAGTTTGTCTACTTGATAGTATCATACTTGATATATAAGGTTGATTTCAGATAAGTGTAAAAACTTGTCTTTATTTTCCTGATTTATGTGGTACCTTACATCTCGAGTCAACTCCTGTTGGAGTTTCCTTAACTTTTATAGTTTGGACCAAGCATTTACCATACCTCTTACTAAGTATTCCTCTTCAAAATTGAACACTTGTCCAAAAGAAATTTCACACTTTATCAAAAAAAATCCAAAGCAGCATTGCATTTCCTCTGGAAATGAAGGCAAATGTGAAAGTGGCATTAAAGGACATGTCCCTTTAATGGTCACATTTTTTTCTGTTATGAAATACACTGTATCTGTAACTTGACTATGTGTAGCTTGATTGGTTTGGACAGCACTTCTGAGCTATTAAAGCATTAACATTTTCAAGTATTTACTTAGTGGTGGTTTCATGTTATGTATTGGATTTTTAGTGAGCATTTCTTGCGTGTGGAATTCCCTGAGTAGATTCTGTGCAAGTGAGAAGGTAGTTGACATTTCAGCGAACTTTTATCTGAAATTCTAATAAGCATCAAGTTGACTATGTAATGCAATACTGAGAGCATTTTTACTTTTTGCTAACCTCCTACCTAGTCAATAAGTTATAAGATTGCATTAAGTCATTGGGTTGGTAGATTGGAAAATTCCTCAGGCATTGTGCTTTGGATGAACATGCATTGTTCTGTGATGCCTTAACAGGATAATCATGGACCAGCAATGTGCCCTCCTGGCCCAAGAAGGCCAGTGGGATCCTGGCCCAAGAAGGCCAATGGGATCCTGGCCTGCATCAGGAGGAGCATTGCCAACAGGTCGAGGGAGGCGATCTTCCCCCTCTACCCAGCTCTGGTGAAGGCCGCACCTGGAGTGGGTGCAATTCTGGGCTCCCCAGTACAAGAAGGACATTGAGCTGCTAGAGGGAGTCCAGCAGAGAGCCGTGAAGATGATTAAGGAACAGGAGCATTTATTGTATGAGGAAAGACTAAGCAAGCTGGGCCTGTTTAGCCTAGAAAAGAAAAGATTGAGAGATTTGATCAACATGTACAAATACCTAAGGAGAGAATGTAAAGAGGACGGGGCCAAGCTCTTCTTGGTGTTGGCCGGTGACAGGACAAGGGGTAATCGGTAATTAAAACACCCCCATATGAGGAAGAACTTCTTTCCTGTGAGGGTGACAGAGCCCTGGAACAGGCTGCCCAGAGAGGTTGTGGAGTCTCCTTCCCTGGAGATCTTCCAAACCCGCCTGGATGCCACCCTGTGCCACGTGCTCTAGGTGACCCTGCGTGTGCAGGGGGATTGGACTAGATGATCTCTAGAGGTTGCTTCCAACCCCAACAATTCTGGGCTTTTGAGATTTTTCACACATCACACAAGTTATACTTGTGTTTCATTTAAATAATCTTAAGAAATTAAGCAGAAGTAATACACATTACCAATATTAAAGAAATGTCAAATTACTTGAGTTTAAAGAAGTCTGAGATTAAAAAGTCCCCATACTTTTTGCATGAGGCTGTGTGACACGATCTTTTAGATTTGCCCTATTCTTCTATATATGCTTACGTACAATTGAAATTAGGCTATCATTAATCCATGAAGTACAATAATGAAATAGGCTAGTAGAAAGGATTTGCCTATGTCAAAAAGTGGAAACTCAGACTAAGGCAACAGTGACATCACCTTAACTGCAGAGCAGAGGTAGAAGCCAGTCTACTAGTCATTAAAAAATAATTTCTGTTTACAGATATGACTTTTAGGATTGCATTGGCTCTTTTTTTCCCATGATTCCTTTTTATATTTTTTTCTATTATTCTTAGCTTTCCTTAGCTTGATTTAAATAGTATTTTTTAATGTAGTTATATTTATTTGGAATTTAAACTCAAGTTTACCGGTTAGTTTTCATGTGGAGGAATTGAGTCAAATGTACCTATGGGTCACTTGCCTTTTCATTTCAAGTAATTCTTTCCTTGACTGTGGTAATAACTAAAGCAATTCTGACTATTTCTACAAATCCCATGCCTATGAAAAAATAGCGCACACACACACAAAAAAAAAAAACAACCTTCCAAAAGCTCTAAGGGTTTATAGGGAACTATATCAATTGTTGCTTAAGCTTGGAGGCACAAAAGCTTATCTTAGTTACAGTGGAAGATATGTGGCTATGGCTACGCTTACACTTCATAAATGCCTTTGATTGGACCGACTGCACAGGTGCAAAAGGATGAAGGTATAAACAAAAAAGTAAGTTTGTTTATTTCTTTAAAGGTAGAGGGTGTAAGAAGGCGGCTGGAAGGCTGGTCTGTATCTATAAGCTATAGTCATAGAAACTCCTCCTTGTTTTTCATTTTTTTTAACATTCTCAGTTATTAAATATTAGTATTTAACTTCTGCATTAAAGCCCTATATTGTCTATAGGGCCAAGATGGAACAGATTGGCCTCTCTTGGACTTATTGCTCTTGAACTGCGTGAGGACCATAAGCCAAGTGCTCTTGTTCATGCCAGTGACTATTTCCTGAAGAGGCCTCCTGAATTGAGTACTACAGGGTTTTAGTAGTTCTCACAGTTTACAAAGATTCATGTTTGTCATCCAGGAACCAAGTCTTACATATCCACCTGTGAGCTCATAATAAGAGCCATTCCTCATCAAATGTTGACAATAATGCTTAACACCTTAATACTGAAGCAACCATTAGCTGTCATGGTACTATTATGTTTCTTGCACAAGAGTCAGGGACTCCGAGTAGAAGATTTTTTTTTTCTTTCATGCTAAGCTCTTTGCCACCAGCTCAGCATCCTTTCTTTCCTTCCTCCCCACCCTGAGCAGGATTCCTTTCTTCATCTAGTAGTTCCAGGTGACCCCATGCCCATGGTGGCAGCTCTGCTCTAGAGTCTCTTCGAAGAGCAGTACGGATCTTCCCTTAGGAAAGAAGATAGGCCTTTGTTTCTTATCGCTCTTAGTAGTTGTAGCCGTGCTTTCTTCCCCTACACAAATGCAGTTTACTCCAGTTCCTAAACAAACTACTGATCATCAAGAAAATCTTTTGATTCACACATCTCAGTTTCTGCTCTAATCTTGGCAGTGCTTGTACCCTGTGAGTAATAGTATTCATCATTACCTACAAGGTTTGTTAATTGCTTTTACTTTGAATGAGTCTGTTTAATTCACCTACTAATTTACCAAGTTTGTGATGTCGGTTGTTAACTGGTATAACTGCAGAGAATGATTGACGGCTGATGTAATTTTTGGAAAATGTTTTCAGATGTTTGTTTACTAATAGGAATTTTATTGGGCAAAATCTGGGTGATTTGATTGTTCTGTTCTCTTAAGCAGAAATTAGAACTAAAGCTAAGAAGGTAGCATGCTGCTAAGCTGTTCTTTTAAAGTTATTGCCATGATATGCCAAAGCTTTTTCTTTCTCTTCTAAAAAAAATGTTTTACAGCATAAGAGCTTCTTTTTCATTTGTTTGTTTTTTTCCCTTTAGCACATACTAACTCAGTATGACTCACTTTATTTCTTGATCAGAATTTTTTAAAGTCTCCTACAGCCTTTGAGTTTATGAGTTTAGTTATTTTAGCTCTAGGAGACTTTTTAGGTTCAGAATTCACAAAATCATTTCTTACAGATATTACTTTCTGGTATTTAAGTGCACTTCAATTTTATTAACTTGGAACAGATAATGTACTTTATACCAACTGTACTGGACTAACATTGCTTTTTTTTCATCAACTTCTTATGCTTCCAGCAGTAATATGGGATGACAGGCTTATCAGAAAAACAAAGCCTGAAAGACAGAATTAAAAGTTATGCAAGCAAGTTCTTTAGCTGAGTTCAGATACTTGGAGTTGTAGTCCTTGTTCATCAGATCTCTTGCTGTATTGGCTAGTAAATGTTTGTTTTTTTTTTTTCTCAGAAACTCAGATTATAGAATATTTAGCTATCTAGGACACCATTTATCTTCTCATATAAAAATTTTGATGAAACATTTTGGAGAGGCAATAGCTGCATTCTTCTGACTGCTGGGAAGGAAGCCACTCTAGTAGTTGCAGGCATATGAAGTTAGGAGAAATTTTTCCTTACCCATGTGATTGTATTTGGGCTCCTAACTTTCATGTAGTTTTATTGTGATAATTGTATAATCTGAAGGAGATGCTCAGGCATTGCCCAGGCATGTCTGAAAAGAATGAAGCTGATATATAGGTATTATGTTATTTCTAGAAGTAATTGGGAAAGGCAAGATGCCTAAACAATATTTGTTAGGGGTAGTTACTTTCAAGTTTACAGTTTTTTGAGAACCTTTGGACATCCAAAGCTGTCTGAAGACTTCTCTTTGTTGCTCTGGCAAAAGCAGGAAAAGATCAGAACCATGCCAAATACACCCTTGTTCAAAACAGTAAGTAAAAATTACCAAAATAACTAATGGCAAATGAGTATGAGAGCAATCCTGGGCGAAACATTGGACAAACTGATATGGAATATAGTGTTTTTGTTTTGCCTTTTAAAAAGAATATATAGAATATTTATTGTTTGGAAAATCTGGTTTTGTTTGT